AAACACTGAGGTTCAATCTCTGAGTGCGGAATTTAAGAAATAGCTTGCACTGACAGTAAAGATCAGGTGATTTTCTGGGTCAGAGTTGCATGAGCACAAGAATCCAATGTGAGCATGAAAGCTGTATCTTATCTTATTAGATATTGAGGACATGCATCATTTTAGTCTTTGTGGCAGGTGTTCTGTCAAATTCTTATGATTGTTCTCTGTACTGTCCTCCTACACCTTGCACTGTGAAATTTGACTTCCCTCAATACTTGCTTTCTCGTTTGCGTTTGTTTCGGAGCGGGCACATTACAAAGGTGTTTACGGAGTTGTAGCGTTACACGAGCCAACCGCGAGCCCAAGTCAACCTCGAGTCAACAACGAGCCAAGCCAATTTTTTTTCTTTTTTTTTTTTCTTTTGTCCCCCCAAAAATACAGATTGTAGGAAGTAAAATATATGAATATAGATCGTCTTAGCAGTCAACAACAGGACATTTTAATAGCAGGATCGCTCGCGCCGTCTTGTAGTCTTACGCGACATATTATCTTATCCAAATAGTGAGTGACGTAAATCTAGTTAACTATCTACTGACTCAGAGAAAAGTTAAACGATATTAAACATTCGTGCCACGCGAGTGAGTTGCCTCTTTCCTGAATTTCGTGCCCGACCTTAAAGTTCCGATAACTGTTGCAGGATTATGTTTGCAGAGCTGTGTTAGTGTTGCAAAGCTGCATTTATTTCATCAAGAAACCAACGACAATCGTGACAATAACCTTATAGAGCCGAAATGAACAAATGAAGAAAATCATCTATATTCATACATTTTATTTCCTACAATCTTTTTTTCGAGACAAAAGAAAAAATATTGGCTTGACTCGTGGTTGACTCGAGGTTGACTCGTGACTCGAGACTGACTTGGGCTCGCGGTTGGCTTGTGTAAAGCTACAACTCGTGTTTAATACGTGAAGCACTGATCTAATCAAGGGTTCCACCTCTGGCTTTGTCAATAAGGTTGACTGTATGAATACGTACCGAATAGGAGTGTTCCTCGCTTGCAGCTGATGACCTTCTAGGGAAAAGTTAAGTACTGAGGTATAATTATCCATGCCTAAAATCGACCTACGTCATTACTAACATGTCTAGCACCTGCAAATTCTATGTATGATGCGCGAAGCGAGAAATCTCTGGACACGATCGCAAGTGCGTGCAATTTTTATCGGTAGGCTGCTACGTAAACATCATTTGCACAAAAAATTATCATATCGGTTTTTTCCTGTTATGGGTGTCACGGTTTCCTCTCAGAGGCAAAAGAAGGTAGTTAAAAGGGTTCCTCCACCATCTTTTGCTAGTTTTTCTACCACTGGAACCCTAACTACTTCAGCTCATGTTGACGAAGGTGAGACCGAATAAAAAATTATGTTATCTAGGCTAACACGCTTACACAAAATAGGCTTAGTGCACTTTTGTCTTTAAGGTGAGAATAATTTGCTTTTACGATAGCGTATTTAACACCTGCAAAAATGGCATAAATACCTGTCAAAAGATGGAAGCCATTAGCTTTTATGTCAAACAACGTCTTTTGACAGGCGTTCGCCAAGATCGTTATGTATACAGCAATGTCATCCTGCTAGAAACTCATGACTCCATATCTAAGGATATTGATG